CCCAAGGATCTGAATCTGCCTCAAGTCCTGAGGTCAGCCATATAAAATCCATGGATAAGAAAAGTTGGCCCTCTGTTTACACAGACTATGCATGCTTCAAATACTGTAATCCTCTTGGTTGAAAAAAATCCACATATAAGTGGACCCATGCAGTTCAACCCTGTGTTGTTTAAGGGTCAACTGGTACTATGAATGTTTGTGTACGAGTATTTGTATGAACATATGCTTTCTTTTCTCTTGGGTAAATACCTATGATTGGAATGGCTGGATAAAATGGCAAGTGTATGTTAGCTTTTTAAGAAACTGTTTTGCAAAACAGTGTACCATTTTTTGTTTTACATTTCTACGAGCAGTATACGAATATTCCAGTTCCTCTACATCCTTGCCATGCTTGTCATGGTCAGTTTTTATTTAACTTTAGCTATTCTAAGACATGTGTATGGTGTCTCATCATGGTTTTAATTTATTTCCTTAATGACTAATGATGCCAGACATTTTGTATGTGCTTATTTACCATTCCTAGCTCTTCTTTTGTGAATTGTCTCGTGAAACCTCTTACCCATTTTTACTTGGGTTTGTTTTCTTATTATTGAGGTGTTAAAGTTCTTAATGGACTCTAGATATCAGACACATGTTTGCAAATTATTTTTCCAGGCTGTCTTGGCTTTTCATTTGTCTCATGGTGTCTTTCATAGAGCAGTTTTTAATTTTTGAATTTTTAAAGTTCTTATCAATTTGTTCTATTATGGATCATGACTAACTCTAAATCACAAAGATTTTCTCCTTTGTTTTCTTCTAGAAGTTCTATTATCTTACCTTTTACATTTAGGTCTCTGATCCATTTATAATTAATTTTTGTATCTAGTGTGAGGTGTGGACTGAAGTTTAATTTTTTTGTGTATGGATGACCAGTTGTTTCCAGCACCATTTGTTTAAAAGATGGCACGTTCTGTACTTCATTGCCTTTACCTCTTTGTCAAAAATCAGCTGTCCATATGTTTGTAGCTCTATTTCCGGACTCAGTTGTGTTCCATTGATCCATTTGTCTTTCTTGATGCTTATGCTACACTGTCTTGATTACTGTAATTTAAATAAGGCCGCGATAGTCCTTTGTTCTTTTTAAAAGTTGTTTTAGCTATTCTAGATCCTTTGAATTTCCATGAATTTTAGAATCAGTTTGTCAATTTATACAAAAAAAAGCCTACTGGGATTTCGACTGGGATTGCATTGTATCTATAGGTCCGTTCAAGTCTTCCAACTCATGAACAAGGTGTATCTCTCCATTTACTCAGGTCGTCTTTAAGTTCTCTCAGAAATGTTTTGTCCTATACAGGTCCTGCACATCTTTTAACAGATTTATTCTTAAGTATTTAATATTTTGTTACTATTATGATGGTGTTTCTATTTCAATTTTTAGTTGTTTATTGCTAATATGTAGAAATACACTTGGTTTTGTATATTGATCTTATATTCTGAAACTTTGCTAAATCCACTTAGTTCTGGTAACTTTTTTGTCGATTTTCTACATGGACAATCATGTATAAAAATGAAGCTTTTCTTTGTCTTTTCTAATCTGGATGTCTTTTATTTCTTTTTCTTGCCTTATATTCTTCCCTAGATGTTCCTCGTTAGTATGAGGACATTTCCTTCTATTCCTAGTATTAAAAGTTTTTTTAAAAATCAGGAATAGATATTAGATTTTAGCAAATGCTTTTTCTGCATCTACTTAGATAATCATATCTTTTTTAGTTCGTTATATGGTTTATTATGTTTATTAATTTTCTAATG